GCTCGAAGTGTAAGGTACGATCGTAAGCCTACTACAGCTACTTTTTTTACAGTTAATGCAGAGGTGTGTGATAGAAATGGTGATAGGTAGAAAGAACCAAAGCAAATTTACACGCTATAAACTAAATTCTCACATCATATAGTCGGTGTGACTAAGCATCTCAATTTATGCACGGCGGGGAAGGTCCTGTTAAAGACGGAAAAGTTCAAAGCAACTCGCTCTACATCGGGTACCTCTGCTAGTAACTAATATTTGTGTTAGTGAATCGTTCTATCGAATAAAACTTTGACAGAAACCTCTAACATATATCTAGAACAGTTGTATAGCGCTATACAACTGCAAGTCCGGGCCCATGGTCTTGCACAAACACGGTCAACAAAACTAACTAACTAGAATGCTACTACAACCACTGGCGGCAAGCAAATAAACAGTAAGCTAGACGTCAACGATGCAGCTCTGGCCTAAACAAGTTAGGAGCGAGTGACCGGTTTCATTTGCACGGTTGGTTTTGTTGCTTGGAACCCTTCGGGATAAACGATGAGAGGAACGGAGGCGATTGTTCGATTCAGACTTGGATTTAATTTTTGAATTTGTAATGATTCACGAACGAGAAGACAATATTTATGTGAATCTTTTGAGATGATTTTCCAACCCTTCCAATCAATACTGTGTTTTGTTTCGAATTCATGTTTTTGGAGCACTGATTTTATTTTTTTATCATCAATTGGGGTTATGTTGTTTTCATCTTCTTCTTCCGTGATAGTGTCGTTTGGAAATTAATCAACTTTATGTGTATTTTTATTACGATCAGATCGACGAATTGTGGTTGGCTGGGTGCTGCTGTGATTTGTTGTGGAGATTGGAATGGTTGCTGTTTCGATGCACCATGTTCATGAAATCTTCTTGAAGTTTGCCGAACTGTTTTGCTTATATACTTGTCATCACAATTTGAACACGCTGTCATGTATACTAAATGTGATTGAAGATCTTTCGGTGTTCTGTCTTTTTGTGAAAAATAGCTAGATATCTCTGAAGGTAGACGAGGAATCGGTTGAAGCTGTAGATTCGGTCGAACACTTTTTGCTACAGCAATAATTTGTTTTCCCAAAAGTTTAGTTTTATTACCTGTAAAAAGTAAATCAATAAATAATTGTTCGTTTTTTGGCACTTTATCTGCATTTTTATTCAAATTCGTTGACGATATAGTGTTCTGTGTTTCATAACACCTATTTAATGTTTTTCCTATTTGATTAAGTACAAAATTTTTTGGATATCCATTTTCCATTGCAAATCGTCTAATAAATTTAAATTCATGATGTAATAGTACATACGTAGAGCAAATTCTTATTGCTCGGTATGTCATTAAGCTAATTGTAGATATTTTATATGACATTGGTACATGTGATGTCCATTTTAAAAGCAAACCAGTAAATGTGGGTTTTCTGTAGATCGTTGTTGTAAATATTCTGGAGCTTGCTGAGGTGTTGTTTCGACTAATTAATATATCCAGGAATGGAAGAGTGCCATTATTCTCCATTCTACTGTGAATTGTATAGCAAGGTCAAAACTATTTAAAATTTCTAATAGTTTATGTATATCAGCATCTTTTTTAACTATTACAAAACTATCATCAACAAATCTTTTCCAATATAATACAGCATTGGCAACTAATCTTTGTTTTAATTTTGTTTCAAGATAATTAATATAAACATCTGCGAAGAGGGAACCTAAAGGGCATCCCATCGCAATACCTTGCAGTTGACAATATATTTTACCGTTGAAGATGAAATGAGAGTCTTTCGTTGCTAGTTCTAACAATGATTTTAATTCGTATCTATTTTTACAATTATCACACCAATCATCTTTTTTCTTGGTACTACACGTACAAGTGTGCGGTTTTCCGTACATTTTCTCTAGGATTAATTCAATTGTTCTATCTAGAGGTACTTTTGTAAATAAAGATATAATATCGAAGGACACTAATTTAATTTCATCATGATAAAATCTTAAACTATGAATTTCATCAACAAATTTAAATGTGTCGTTAATAATAGTTGGACTAATTCGTAGATGATCTAATTTTTTTGCTAAAAGTTTTGATAGTTTATAATTGAATGTGCTGTACACCGCAACAATAGGACGCAATGGTAAATCTTTTTTATGGATTTTAGTTAATCCATAAGCTTTCCAAGGTCCCGAACCAACTGGATGAGCATATCTATACTCTGTGTCAGTAATGAAGCCTGAATTTCTCAACTTTAAATGCTTTTGTTGTAACTTATCTTCCTTTTTTAACGTTGGATCCATTTCTATTACTTTGAAGGTATTTGTATCGTTTAAATTTGATTCCATTTTCATAATATAGTCCACTTTATCAAGAATGACTACCGCTCGACCTTTATCTGCACGCGAAATGTGGATTGATTTATCATTAGATAGATTTCGTAGTGTTCCTATCATTGGTTCAATATCGTCTCTATAATGCGAAATCGTTTTATATGCATTCAATCTAAATGTATGCAATTGTATAGCGCTATACAACTGTTCTAGATATATATTAGAGGTTTCTGTCAAAGTTTTATTCGATAGAACGATTCACTAACACAAATATTAGTTATTTTACCTCTCTATCTGTTTATCTGGTTTTATTTATTTACACATTTTAATTGTTATTTTACTGTTATTTGTCTTGAAAATGATACTAAATGTATCGAAACGTCGACAGTAATAAAATAAATTAGTATATCTATTAACAAAATGTTAATAAAAAGATTTAAAGCTGCTGTTGGCTCTATCATATTTATTCTCAAATGTGTACCCATATCAAAGGAAAATTATTTATCAAAAAGTCTTGCTAAAACGTTATCAACCTTTTACGACGATCGATAGCTCTTTTAGTTCTGAAGAAAATGAGACGTCAACCAACTTCCCATGGTGTGTCCATGAGGAGAAATCGAGAACAGAAAAGTGGAAGTGACAGCGCAATATAATCTTTAGCGCTCTCAAGAATTTTTCATCTCTACTTTTCTTTTCTCGATTTCGCCTCGTGGACACAACATAGAAAGTTGGTTGACCTCTCATTTTCATGAAAACTAAATAATGAAGTCGAAAACAAATGCTGACAACGACAGCTTTTTTATATTTTGCCTATAATTTCATCAAGTTTCTTCGTACAAAATCAAACGACATCTTATTCGAAAGAGCATAAAACATTGCATCTGACAAATCAGTAGCAACGCGAAAACGTCGAGATTAACAGGGTCAAAACACAAAATCGCATTTTTGAAAAATGTCAAATTCTGCAGTAAAACGTCAATAATTTTTCGAGCTAATTCCAAACCACTCCAAATTTTGTATCAATAGATAGAATTTTCCATTTTCTACAAAACCACCGAGAAAATACTCAGAAAAATGTGCTCTTTCTGACTGAAATTGGAGAAACAAGATGGCAAACTAGTGCCTTGTCTTTCGGTTTCGCATTTTTGTCCTCCATCATTCTATCAAAACTCAAAAAGGAGGAGACCATGTTTGGAATGATCGAAAACTGAGACTGAAAATGTTCATTTGTTGATCTTTTACGCACAATAAAAACTTTTGTTTTTTCAAACCATCGGATATGGCATTGTGTACCAAAACTTTAGCGTATCAAGAAGTTACACTAGGGATATTTTTTGAAGCAAGAAATTAAATCTCTTGAATTTCTAGGGACAAGATCTTGTCCAAATACAAGAAAAAGAAGCGTCAGTTTCTTGCCCAACAAACGCAAGATCTTGGGACATTTCATGGGGCAAGATCTTGGCCAAGAAATCAAAAAACAACTTCCACTAGGGTAAGTACAGTAGTGTTCTATATATGTCTCTGAAAATGACTGTATGAAGAGTTGCAACGTCACATCGTTTTTAATTTGGCTGCTGTAAATCTAAAAAAAGATAAAGAGGTTCTAAAGGCTTCATTACAAGACCCGAGTCCTCTCTTGTGAATTTCACATCCTTCTTCTGGAAGCATCTTCGAATATGGGAGCGAATTCTTGTGGTCCTATTTTCAAGCAAACGTTCTTTAAAAGTGCTATGTAACAGAAAGAGGAAGAAAAATAAGTAAAAACAAATGCAAACCTTTTAAAACGATATTTTCTATTTTAATGACTATATATAGTTTCAGTGCTTTCGTTAAAGAAGAAAAATAATCACATTTTCCTATTAAAGTTAATTCTACATTGAATAGAATAACTAAACCGTAGTTTGTTCTTGTTTTCGGTGCACTGTAACTGTAGTGTGCAACGATTCACTTAAACAAAAGATATTTCTCACTAAACAAGCATTTACTCAGTTAGGTTCGACAATTAAGTGTGTGCTTACGGACTTATTTGACGTGACGAACGGCTTGACACTACAGTGCTCGTCAAAAGTAGCGCTTCCCCCTGTAACTGAAGAATCATGATTTTGTGTGTTCATGACTCTTGCCAATTTCTGATCACCCACCGAGTCTGAACCACTTTTACTAGATGGTTCGTGAGACAGAAGCGATTTTTATGTCTGTTTCGTGAAATGTCAATAGCTGCTGACCTAAGAAAGATGAAAACTTTTTATTTTTATTAAAATGTAGCCACAACTCTACTCTATCTACAATATAATATTTTGTGAGTTGGCTGTTAATAGTCAGTGAAATACAGTTATTGTTTTATGGGCGAGGTCCCTATAAGTGAGGTTCTGAGATATAAGGTCCTTCTCAAGAAATATTCATAACTAAAAATTCTAGGAACATCCATTCGACTTCAAACTCACAGCGAATACTCTTCACCCACTGTAGACTATCCAGTCAAAGTATGAAGGTTAAGAGGCCATGTCAAATCTAAATATGTTACATATTCCGATTCCTTACGAAACTCAAACACTTTCTGTAATGATATCCCAACATTCTGCAAGTATGGTCTGCCTTCCTTATAAAGCAGAGAAGCAGACCATCAGATAATCTTATACGTTCAATATTCAGATTTTAATATTCTCTAAATATGGTCTATCTCTTGTATTTCTGGGTAACATCTTCCTTCTAGTTCAGATCAAGAGAATTTACAAGCATCACAAAGAACGGAATTTGTTAAAAATATGACAATGGCAATTGATTCCTTTCATGTTAAAAATTATAATTGCCTTATGTGTAAAACATTTATGCGGGCGACTCATCTATCACATAACGGTATTTACGATAATATTAATTCACAGATAGCGGAACAGTTGTTTTCGTATTTTTCAAAATTTAAAAATTCATTTCATGGCTATCATTATCCAAAATCCACTGTGTTCTTTTTTATTACTATTTCACCTCAAGAATTGTCGTACAGTTGGACTTGATACATTCAAACAATCAGTATTTCTAACATAATCAATGTTTTGTGATGTACATAGTCATTTCTCAGTTGTTTGTATATCAT